CAGCCGAGAAAATTGCAAGATTTGCCGGAGTTTTGTGGGAAGCCGGAAGAATGGCCGATATTTTTTACCGCCTTCACCCAGTCAACTGCAGTTTATGGCTACAGTTATTTTGAAAATAACCTACGATTACAGAAATGCTTGAAAGGTGAGGCGCGAGAAACGGTTAAATCGCTACTCATCCACCCAAATAACGCGAACATTATCATCGAGCAGCTTAAGTTCCGATTTGGTCGTCCGGAGCAATTAATTCGCAGCCAACTAGCCCAGGTGCGAGAAATCGCGCCGATATCTGAAAGTTCAATGACAAAGTTGATACCATTTGCCGCGAAAGTTAACAACGTTTGTGCATTTCTACATTCCGCTTACGGAGGAGACCAGCATATCGCGAACCCAACGCTGCTCGATGAACTCGTAGCGAAACTACCCATGAGTAAGCGTATTGAATGGGCAGTTTTCGCAGCATCCTTGCATCCGTATGCGACAGTCACACATTTCAGTGAGTGGCTTACTAAATTAGCTAATGTTATTTGCACGGTCAACGATGGGGAGGCAACGCGAGACTCCAAACGCCGAGTTGTGTTGCACGCCGCCGAATCACAACGCCAACCAAGGTGCCCAATATGCCAAGGCCAACATAAGTTAGCCGAGTGTAAGCAGTTCAGCGAACTTTCAGTGTCAAAGAGGTGGGCGGAAGTAAAACGACGTCATCTTTGTTTTGCGTGTCCCAATGTTGGACATGGAACGCGCAATTGCCAACAGCGCAAACCGTGTGCCACAGACGGGTGTAAAAGGATGCACCACAAATTGCTGCACGAAGCAGAAAATAGTGGCGTAAATTCCCCAATTCAGTCAACGCTTCCTCAGGAACGTGTCAGGCGCGTTCCCACATCAGAGTAGCGCAAAGGTTCTAACACACTAACACAACCAGCGTTACATAGCCAACAGCAAAATGATACAGGAGCAGCTGTTCTTAGTTGCAGCAATGGCACTGCTGTTAATAAGCTCCTATTTCGGATTATGCCCGTCGTGCTTTACGCGAACCAGAATTGCGTCGAAACGTATGCGCTCTTTGACGAAGGCTCGTCAATAACAATGGTTGACAGCGCTCTTATTGACGAACTTGGGCTACACGGTCGAAATCAGCGCCTGAATTTACAATGGTTCGGAGGACGTGCAGCTCAGGAGACAGCCGTCGTAGTGGATTTGCTCATAAGTGGTGCCGGCATGCAAAAGAGGCACAAATTACGAAACGTATATGGTGTATCAAACTTACAATTGCCTTCTCAAAGCCTGAACGTTACTGACATGAGTTGCCGCGCCACATACCTAGAAAAACTGTCAGTACAACCATATGCGCATGTAAAGCCAAAACTTTTAATTGGGATCGACCACTGCCACCTTGGTCTGCCATCGGCCACTGTGAAGATGAATAAGAATGGCCCGTTTGCTGCTAATACGGAGTTAGGATGGGTGGTATTTGGCCCAACAACCAACACACATGAGTCCGTACCATCCTGCTTATTCACCAGTTGCCACACTGATCTGTCATTACATAACGCGGTGGCTGATTACTTCGAAACAGAGAACTTTGGAGTCAGGGCTGCCCCTCCAATCGAGAGCGACGCTGATGTTCGTGCACGAGAAATCCTGAGGTCTACGACATGTCGGGTTGAAGGAAGGTTCCAAACAGGACTACTATGGAAACGTGCCAATGTAGAGCTACCTAACAGCTACGCTATGGCGCTGAAAAGGTTAAGAAGCATCGAAGCAAAAATGAAGCGCGACGCAGACTTCGCCACTGAGTACAAACGAATTATGAATTCGTACACCGAAAAGGGATACGCAAGAAAATTGTTACCAGAAGAGGCCGCTTTGTTCTGCGCCAGGACATGGTACTTGCCACACTTTGCCGTCACAAACCCTAACAAGCCAGGCAAACTACGTATGGTGTTCGACGCTGCTGCTGAGGTGGACGGTGTGTCCCTCAACTCGCAGCTGCTGAAGGGTCCACAAGAGTATCGGCCCTTGCCTGCCATACTATTCCATTTTCGTGAAGGTGCAATCGGCGTGTGTGGGGACATCAACGATATGTTCCACCAGGTTTTGATTCAGTGTGACGACAGGTGTGCTCAGCGCTTCCTTTGGCGTGATGGTGACTCGTCAAGACAACCTGATGTTTATGAAATGCGAGTGATGACCTTTGGGGCCGCGTGTTCGCCTTGCGCCGCCCATTACGTTAAAACGGTCAACGCATTGGAGCATCGCAATGAAGTAAGTGGTGCAGACCGAGCTGTAAAGTCCATATTGGATTACCACTATATTGATGACTATGTCGACAGCTTTGGCACGGAAGAAGAAGCACTTGACGTATCTCAACAGGTGCGAACAATTCACATGAAGGCTGGTTTTGAACTTCGCAATTTTACGTCCAACTCATCGAATGTGGTAGTCGCGCTTGGTGGTAACGAAGCTACACGTCAAATAGCAAAGAAAGAAGGAGTACTCGTTGAAAGAGTTCTCGGCCT